GTGAGTGTATTTTGGTGGGAAGAAAGGAATGCGTGTGGTGAGAAGCAGCTGATGTTTGTGACATAAGCTGTTCAAAATGTGTGCTTGGAATTATTCGTTGAAAATTGTTGGCGTTGATGATAAGGTGCCTACTGCCAGAGCGGTGTATATGGCGTTCTCAGATTTTTTTCAAAGCGGGAACCACAAATATTCGGGATCGTTGCTGGTCTCATTAGCCATGCCTGCCGAATTTGAAAACCGTCGCGTTGGCCTACTACTATTTTTGCCGTAGGAAGTTTATGTCAGCGAAACCTGGTCGGCAAGTCCCGCATGACAGAAGGATGCACGTCCAGTCAACCTAAGTAGCGACGTTATATCCTAATATTGCATCCGGCGAAAGTGTACCATGCAGAGGATGTGTTGTGTCTTGAATTCACAATGAGTACTAAAGCGATTTATTAGAATTGAAAGCACACAGAGCTATACAGGGAGACATCGCCTCGACAAGTGTATTTTGGAACTACGACCTTCTGGAAATGTGTAGTAGCGACAAATGGAACTTATAGCAAACCTAATGAGGGAAATAATGCTAGGAAATGGTTCAACGTTGGTTGCTGAGAACAAGAATTCTACGTATTGACAGTTTACGCAGCATAGATTGAGAGGAAAGGAAAAGGATAACCAAAGTAAAAAAACTGTTTGATCACGAGGTAATTTTTCATTACTGTTTAACGTCTAGGGTAGTTTTTCAACGGTTGTACTCTATGGGTGGACAAAGCTAACAAAAAATATTTAATCACACGGTTCAATAACAACAATTCAGGGGTTGGGGAGGGAAAAAAAAGAAAAAGCTGGCAGAAAAGCAGTTAAATAACTACTCCTCGTCTTCGCCCTTATCCTGTTCCTCCTGAAACAAGTCGTGCTTCCATACTTCATCAAAAGGCTTGGAGCCAGACTTAGGCCTTGACTCATCTCTATCTGCAGTTCGAGATGAATGGGAAGATGCGTTCCTAATATCTCTGCTTTGGGTTCTATATTTTGCCAAATGATCCTAAATGGAGAGTGACCTAAGACAGTTTGGAAAAAAAATAAAAAACTAGTTAAGAGAAGAAAGGAGACCATTTATCAGGTATCACATATATTTGTAACAAAAACTTCAAAAATTGAGCCTTTCTTACTCTTGGAGCATTACGCCATCCTAATGGGGCACTGAATTTTCTTTCTAAGCCATTACTGCGAGATGTCTTAGCACTTCTATCGTCATGCTGGAAAACAAGAAGTCTACTAGAAAAGAGAGTAGCAAATTTACAACACAACAAATTCCTTTTAATCCTTCGTGGTGATCTTTTAGGAGAAGCATTAGCTATGAACAAAACAGATGTATCGAGATAACAGAAAGGGAAATTACCGTAAAATAAGACTTCCCCGTTGGTACTTTGCATGGGTCAAAAAGTTTCATAACAGGTTTCCCATCCTCCTCCTCCTTGTTAGCGTGCCATTGCTGTGATCGAGTTGCGCGTTCTGGAAAGTACCTGTAGGCTTTAGTTCAAATTGTCTCTTCTAATACAAGTTTTCACAATCTCAGGCACGCATTAAAAAATCACTTTAGAAAATACCCGCCAGTAAAAAAACC